CTCTCTAGTTCCCCGTTACGGATCGTGTCCCTTCGTCCAATCCTGTTGATATCAAACTGTCCTCGTCTCAGCTTCTGATCAAAATATTTGCATAACCAAAAGCCTGAATTACAGTTCAAGCAAAAACCTCAACCGAAAAGAACAAAAAACAAAAAATGAAAAAATGCTAAAGGTGAAGGAGGCAACATTCAAAAGGTAAAGCCAGAGTCCGGGGCTGCGTCATGTGTTGGTCAAGCAGCGCTGAGAGACACACCGAAAACAGGAACCCAACGACGACGACGACGACAGCCGGCACGCGCCCCGAACCGAACGGAACGAACCCCAGATCGAAATAGCGAGCCCAGGTACAAGGAAGGCCAAAAAGAAACAAGAGAAAAAAAGAGCAACAGCCAGAGTCAGAGCCAGAGACAGAGCAAAGGGCGAAAACAAAAGGATCTGGAAAAGCAGAACAGCCAAAAAAATATGCAACTGTTGAGCGATCGCACGGGTGAATAACCCAGAGAGAGAGAGAGAGAGGAAGCTCTCGGGAGAATCTCACTCTAGGCCGGGCCCGAAAGTGAAGCTTAGTTTATAATTTTTGGCAGGAAGAAAGCTGCTGCTGAAGTTTGAAGATTTTATCGTATCTAATATCTGGGCCTGGTTCTCGATCAAATTACAGTTCCGGTCAAGATTGAGCATTTGGTTCCGTTCCGCTTTTGTGTGTTCGGGGTTGCGAATGAGGATGAGGCCCAGCACCCGATGATGATCGTGAGGATGAGGTTGCGGGCTGCGGGTTGGGGGATGGGGGATTCTGGCAGCCTAACCGTTAACTTTAAGTTAATGATTTGCTTGCTGCCTTTGGTTGCTCGCCTGCCTGCGCTTCAAGTGCAGCATATGGCATTCCCAGTCCCAGTCCCCCGCCACCTTCCTCTCTACCGCTCTCTTGCTGTGGCTTCAGCACAACTGACGCAGGATACGCAGGATCCCATCGCATCGCATCGCATTGCATTGTTGTCCCTGCCAGGGCCTACCTACGATCGCAGCTCGGAGTTTTTGTGTGTCTGTCGGCTTACTTCCTATCCTCCAACACGGACCTGACAATCTCTCCCTCCATCGGCCGCCTCATCCTCGTTGCTCCACGAATACTCGTACTCGTATGTAAAAAGATCAATCAAATATTGGGTTCCTTCCCTGCGATGCGTTGAGTTGCCCTTACCCGCGTGTCCCGCCTAGGAGGGATTGTATCTAGATGCCCACTTGACTCCTGCATTTTTTACCGCGACATCATAGGTGCCTGCGCCCAGGGTATGTTGGGGTATGATGCTTCGCTAAGCCAGTAAGAGATAGAGATATTTTCCATTGGTACTCCTCCTGCTTGGCTTTGGATTTAACTTCCTTACAGGTCCTCAACGAGTCGTGCTCCTTAAGGGCCGATTCCTTTGTGTTTTTCCTGCCACATTTTGTTTTGTTTTTTTCCTGACTTGCAACGCCGTCGCCGTCGCCGCAGTTGCTGCTGCTGCTGCTGCTGTGCACCTGCTCCTGGGGCACAGGACGCGCGTCTTTTGACCGCAATCGTTGCCAGAGAGGGCTCAGAGCAAAAAAATAAAACCAAATACCGCTCTTACTTACAAGCGAACAGAAGGCAGGCCAAAATCGTTGACCAAGTCGCTTAACCGTTAAGCTTGGCGCGCTTACATAGGGGAGCGATATCCAGAGATCCCCAGAGATCCCCAGGGACCCCTCCTCTTGGGAAGTTTTGGGCAAGCGCAGGGCTTATCCTGCCAAGCGTGTGCCAAAGCGAAACCACAGCCCGCTTTACACAAATCCCAATGTTAAAGCCAAGCCAATCCGAATCCAAATCAGACTCGAACTCGGGGCTCGGGGCTCGGATCGCTTCGTCCTGGGCCAAACCACTTTCGTTTATTTTAATTTGGCTTGCGGTCGTCGTCAGCCCTGGGTGGCAGGGAGGGGGCAGAGGAGTCCAGGCAGAGCCTGCTGCAATCTGACAAGAGCCTGCTGCATTTAATAACTGTTTTCGTTTTTGCCGCCGCTCTTTTTATTACTCGTATCTCCCCCCCACTCGCCCCCTCTCAGCATGTAATGTGTGTGTGTGTGTGTGTGTGTGTGTGCTAGCCCCCGAGTACTCACGACCTGGCCTGGACCCGTGTCGGTCCCGTTCTCGTTTTTGCTGCCGCTGCTGCTTGTGCTTGTGGTGCACGTGCCACTTTTTGCAGCTTGCCGCATGATGGGGCCATCAGACGATTGACTGCTTATCGCACCATACAACGCGTCTCGAACTTAATTAATTTTTATTTATGCTAACGAGCCTTTGACTTTTAGTTAAATCAGAGTCTAGGGTGCCGTGCCAGGATTGCATCCTTCCTTACTGCAGCTGATCGAAGGCCTGACGCAGCATTTGGTTGCAGAGCGCCGCAAACGGATTGATTTCCACGAGCTGGAACGGATTGGATTGGATTCAGTTAAGATATAGGCGCAAGATTCTTAAGCTCTCATTAATACCTGTTCCCTGGCTAATTTACTGCCCAATTGTGCGGCTGCCTCGAAATCAGATCGCGCCGCATCCAAGTTATCCAATTTTCTGTATAGAATTCCTCGCTGGCAATGGGCATGGCACCTGGTGCGGGTCTGCTGATCGCTGGCCAGTTCCAAAGCTTTGTTTAGGTCATCAAGCGCCTCTAAACATAATAATAAAGTGATTAATTTATTAGTTTTAAAACTAAAACAAAATAAACAAATAATATCTAAATTTTCTGGGAGTTGTGCGTCCAATAAGGCTACTTATGGTATTACCAATCTGGTAGCACTCCAAAAATAAAAAAAAATAGCTTTTTTCGATAAAACAATCAATTTTCCTTAAGATTAACTAACTTTTACTACACAAAAAAGGTACACAAGTCGCAAATTTTCTGTTTACATGAATTCTTCCCCGAAAAGTATGCTACTGTATGCTCATGTAGAAATTATCCAAATTAATGAAAATTTCATAGTATATTTTTGCGTGCACATATATTTTTAACATCTATTTATATATAATTAATTACCACTCTCAGGAGGTGTGGCCCCCACTCCAGCGGTCTATGAAACAATAAATATTTGTATGCTTTTTTGCTTACCAACATCTCGTTTCGCCAGACGTAGCGTCTGCGCTCGATTATTCAGCACCGAAGCTCTTTGGGCCTGGTTCAGGGCCAGCTGGAATTGCGTCAAAGCTTCATCGAAACTCCCCTTTTCTGTCAGTAGAACCCCTTGCAGCTCCAGCTCTCTAGAAGATCTCACAGCCTCCGTGTCGGGCTCGACATCAACCAGCTCCGACTCACATGGCATGGATACGATCGGCTGAATGCTGCTCAGCTCCAGGGGATTGAAGATGGACTCCAGCACCTGCCGATCGTGTGAACTGAGCTTGAGATTTACCTGCGGCATTGCTAACTACTAGTATCTGGCGTGATCTTAAACAGACTGAAGCTAGAATCTAAAATCGAACTACCCGAGCCAGTGGGGGAAACTGAAATCGAATGCAAATTAGGCAAACTAACCAGTTCAGGCCCACAGAGAGAGAGAGAGAGAAAGAGCAGCGGTGGAAAAGATATTGGTTATATAAAAAAACGTTTTGTTTTTATTTTTCTGGTTTTGTTTTTTTTTGTTGTTGTTTTCTTTATGTATATGTAAATACCAAGGACAATATCATTTGTTTTTCACTTTGTTTTTGCAATAATTTAATTAATAATATAATAATATTAAATCAGCGCTTTCTTCAAACATTTCCATTTTCATGTTCTGTTTCAGTTTCATTTCTATATATATTCGCTATGCTAATGCGTTTACATTTGGTTTTAATTTTGATAAATACAATTATTATTAATGCTTCAATAAATTTTTGTTGTTCGCTTTAAATGTTTAACTTTATGATGGGTTTTTTTGTTTTCAAAAATTCTCCTTTACAATACTATACACAACTGAAATAGTTTTTAACAATGGATTTTCCGTTTAGCACTATGCTCTAGTTTAGCTCGATCTTTTGCGTAATGCCTGGTGTTTTCTTTCCTAATTCTCAGTTTGTTTTCTTTTTTTTTTTTGTCGGATGGGGGATAATGTCAGAAATAAAGGGATTTTTTCGGAAATTCTGAGTGTTGCTGTCTCGCAAGCAAAGCAAATTGGCTCTAGAAACCATTTTTTGTATTTTCGGTTAAAGAAATCGGTGAAATTGTACATATACCATATAGAAATATATGTGTTCTTTTGCTATGAGAATTTGAATATATGTATGTATGTTTGTATTTGGTTTTGTGGTTCAGTGGTTCATACGGTGCTTTGTTCTTGTGTTCTTTACATTACTTTGCTTTGCCTTACTTTTCTTTTGCTTTTTCTTGATATATGTATGTATGATAAAAAATATAAAAGTGAGCATTGAAATTTACCTTCATTCGTTCCGTTTCTCTTCCTATATGTATATATATATATATATATGTATCTAGGTATATATATATATATGTATATATGTATATTACAAGTCAGTGTTTGTTTGTGTTTGTCGTGTCTATATAGCAGATACGGATATATAACCATTTCTTGTTATGTACTAGGTGGCACAGTTTGTTTTTTGTTGTTGTAGTTTTAGTTGGTTGTTGGTTGTTTGTTTTTTGTGGTCTGGTCTAAATGAATAAAGGGTCGTATGTCAGAAGGGCCTTGATATATACGAGTATCAGTGGGGTGTTTAAAGGGGGATCAACTCAAAAGCGAGACCTGGAAATAATAGGAGATCTTGTCTATCTGTTCAATATACACAGTTATACGTTTACATATATATATTTATCGATATATCTACAAGTTGGATTATCTCTGATTAAAAGTCTAGCTCAATCTTTATTATACAACTGGTTTGCTTCGGCTGAGGCCCTGTTAATCGGTAATATAGTTATCCATATCAACTATAGGCTATTGCTATTTAATTTACGATATTTAAGTGGTACATGGTTGTGGCTTCTCTTCCTTCTGTTATGTATATAGTAAGTTTTCGTATGGTATTTATAAGCTTTCATTCTGATTCTGATTCTTTTTCTGAATCTGATTCTGTTTTGGTTTCTGTTGGTTTTGGTTTGGTTGAATGAGTTTTTAAATGCCGTTTACCCTTTTATAAGCATAGCATATAGATAGCCTTTTTGTTGTTGTTGTTGTTTGTAATCGTATTTCTATATAGTACTATACATATTCTGTTGTATATAGTTTGCTTCATCGGTGTATGTTTGTGTGTGTTGGGGGGTGTCGAAGTTGAAATTGAAATTGTATTTGAATTTTAAATTGAAATTGTTTTTTGTGGCTTTACTTAAAATTGCTTCTCATTGTCGTTTACAATTTAGATATAGTTAAGCATTTTCTATAAATACGATATATGTTTTGTTTAGCATGTATTTCATGTATATATTATGTTTATTAGATACATATATTTATCTGATAGTTTCAAAGTTAGGTAAGCCTTGTCTTCAGAATCTATCGCAATATACAGAGGCGTTCCGTCATCGGGGAAATCCGTTGATACTTCCCCCGCTGTGACATCGCAAACTGAGTTGTTTTTTATAAGTTTTCTTATAAATTTTAGAAAATTCAATTGTATTTTTAATTAATTAGTTTTTTTGTGTTTTATGTGGTAGAATCACTAACAATAAGTAACAGCATAAGCTTGTTTTTTGTTTTCGAATTTTTCATCATGTAGCTAAAAATGTACATAACTAATATACAGTAAAGCGTTTAATTACATAATAGTCAACAAAAGTACAAGTACAATATCTCGTTAACGATTCAATTTGTTTCAATTTGTTTAATAAATATTCTGTTTTCTGGCTTTTGCCTTCCAGACAGATACAGACACATACATACATAGAGAGTTAATAAGAGAGAGGGAGAGCTTAGCAGAGAAATGGATTTGATTTCTGTTAGATTCGTAATGGAGAAAACAAGCCATACTTTAACTATAAGTATATTGTACGAGTATATCTCTAGACACAAAGTTAAGCTGTTGTTGCGGAACTTGGGTGGAACAAATTGCTCTACATAGGAGTATGACATGCAAAAGTTTCACTGGAATCCAAACACCATCACACACAACGAACGAAATCAACAAAATTGCCAAAACGATGACTGACCAAGTGATTGAACGATTGATTGAGTGAGTGAGTGAAGTGACAGATATAGGTAGATCGGTACACCGGTAGATCGGTTGATCCATAGAGAGAGCGAAAAATAGTTTGTTTTATTAAAAAGATTTTGGTTTTGTTTTTGCTAATATTTTACAGAATATATATGAAGTTTTTGGTTGCACAATCAGTTGTTAGGTCGTGCCCTGGTTTTGTTCTTCTTTAACATTTGGTTTTTACTCTTTTTCTTTTATTTATTTTTTTTATTTGCTCGTGATCGCGCCCTGTCGGCCCGGCTCTTCATGCTTCAACATCGTTTAACTTTTACTTAATGCCAATCAACCTCAAATTCTAAGCGTTCGTTTTAGTTTTTTTCTACAGCGTAAATGTTTTTGGTAGCTTTCCTAGTGATAGAATAGCGTAGCTCCTTCCCTTTGTAGTTTCATAATTCGTTTACCATTTTTTGGGGCTCTGGGTAGGGGTTGGTGTTGTGATTGGGTTTTGGGATCGGGTTCTGGGTAGGGATATACATAATCTTACTAAGTTTGTGAGGGGGGAATACAATTTTGCAGCTGTTTTTTCTGGTGTTGATTTAACATTTAACAAACATTCAAAAATTGTGCAGTGTGCAGTTTAAGTTGTACTAATAACAGGGATATATCTCTGCAGTGCTTTCAAATTGATCGGTCAAAGAGGGGCGCAGAATGGGGATGCTTGATAAGTTTGCCAAATTCCTTTAATTTCATCCATTCCTTGCGATCAACTTTACAGCACTGCAGGAATATTGTTTGATATTTTGGATAAGCTTTTTAATTTTTTGTATGCGCTTCTCAGGCTAAGTTTTTCGAGTGGGTGTCAGTGTGCTAGTTTCTGTGAGTGTGTGTGTTTTGTTTTTGTGTGTGGTTATGGGCGTGGCCTCTGCTTGTGGGTATCTTGAATATATATTTTTTTAATTTTTACATGATTTGCGATTTAGCTTTAAGATTATTTTTAATTTTTACAAATTATCTTCTGCTTAGGTGGGCTCTTTTTTGTTTGTTCTTGAGTGTTTTGTGGCTGTGAATTATATATTGCTGCTTGAATTGTATAAAAAATTTGGCAATATGCATGCGTATGCGTATGTGTGTGTGTGAGTACTAGTGCATACGAGTATGTGTGTGTTTATTGAGTGTCTGCGTGTGTCCGTGAGAGTGTAACAAAAGCTTGTGGCTTATTCTTTTTACATTTACAGTGTCTTCGGCTCTTCGATTTCTTTTCCTAATTTTTTCTCTGTATCGTCTTCGTTTTGCTTACTGCATATTGGATTTTTTAGATACTTTACTTGTTATTATTTTTTGGTTTTATTTTTAACATTTGTAAGCTCTTGGTTTTCTTAATGTATGCCATATTTTGCTGTTGCATTCTCTTTGGGGGCTGTTCTGTTTGTAGGCATCTCTTCGAATAACTTCTCCTACAATAATCTCGAGGAAATAAACTTGTTTCTGCCAGCTTATCAGTTTAAAGTTTAAACATAATGCCCGTAATGTCTAACCATTTAAACTACTTTGCTCGATTGTTAATCAATAGTAATAATAATCATACAATAATATGTTTACACAGATTTACACATTTCGACTAGCGCATGGTACGTGGTTCGAGAGAGTTTCGTCTTAGGATTTCTAGGTTCTGGTTAGGTTCTTGACTGGTTAATCTAGTTTGGGGATCGGTTGGTTTTTTTTTTTAGTTGCTACCGCAAGGGTGGCGGCAGCCCATATCATGTTTATGGGGACGTGGTACCATCGGGTTTTTCGTAGGATGTTAGCAGTGAGTGGAGAAAGCGAGGGAGATGCTCTGGCATTTTATCGGTATTTTTTTATTGGTTTTTTGTTTTCTTTTTTCTTTAGTTTTTTTGGCAGTGTTGAAATTTTACTTTTGATATTTTTCAAAGAGGAAGAAATTATAAAAATTATATGTAATATTCAAAGGTTTAATTTACTCAAAAGTTTTCAACCTAAAAATTTGGTCTATATTCTGGATTGTTTTTTTTTTTAGAGCATCTCTTTAGCTACAACAAAAACAACACGACATGGACATTCTCTATGGGATAAGCTGGGGAAGGAAAGGTGGGACTGAGGCTGGGTGAGAGGCTCATTGGAACAACATTCAATTGAAAACGTATTCCATATATTCCACACATACGTTTACAGCATTTTCCAGGGGATATATGTATGGTACTTGTCTAGCGCGTTTTGTTCAGTGTAATAAGAGGCGTGCATGAGGGGCGGGCAGGGGAGAGTTCTGTTTGGGTTGGAAAAGTTAGCACAATTAAACTGTTGACTGGTTGAATTGCTGTTTTAGTTTGAAAGAATGTTCCAAAAAACTTTTTGCTCCAATTGCATTTTCACTTTCGATTTTCTTTACTGGTAAACGGAATTATTATGAGATTTGTAGCTGTTGCTGCTGCTGTAGCGCTGCTGCTGTTGCTGTTGCTGCTGCTGCTGTGATGATTGCTGATGGGAATGATGGGGGTGGTGGTGTTGCTGCTGCTGTAACTCGTGGTGGTCACGAGGGTGGTGTTCACGTTGGTGTTGGTGTTCGTGGTGGTGGTGTTCGTGTTCGTGTCCTTGGTATTCACGTTCGCGCAGCTCGCGTTTTTCTCGCTGGTCGCGAAGCTGTCGCCGTTGTTGGTTTTGTTTCTGTTCGCGTGTGGGCGTTGCAGGCTCACGCTGCTGCTGCTGATGCTCACGCTGCTGCTGCTGCTGCTGATACTCACGCTGCTGCTGCTGCTGCTTCTCACGCTGTTCTCGTGTTGGTGTGGCCTCACGCGAAATTTTCGTTGGTGTGTTGATGTTTAGTTTTTGGTGAGTTTTTGATGCAGCTGTTGCTGCAGTTGGTGGTTGTGTGGTTTGTGTAGTTTGTGTGGTCTTTGTTGTCTGTGTCGTTTGTGTTGTGTTTGTGGTGGGAGTGTTGGGATGATACTGATGAGGATGCTGATGATTGTTGAGCGCAGTCTGACTGCCGTACTGGCTGTTGCTGCCGCTGATGTTGTTGTGTAGCTCATGAGGCAGTGGCGGTGGATTCTTGGCTCTTGTTAGCGGTATTGGTGTTGGCATTGGTTTTGGCGTCTCCGTTAAATCGATGCCCCATTCGTAGAGGAACTCGAGTTTTTGTCGTTCCAATGGGTCACTGGCCGGCAGGGCAAGCAAATGTTAGGCTTCTAAAAATATCAACGCTGTTGGCTTCGGTTCCAAATTTGATTTCTTTGCTTCGACAACTAAGAAGGTTATTTCAGCCTTTTCACGATTAGCAAAGCATTCGGCTATCAGTCGAGCAACCTCCTGGAACATTAAACACAACATTAATTAATTCGAGAGCTTGGTGATAGCTTTTTAAAGTAACTTTTACCTGATGATGTAGACCCTCCACCTTCGTTCCATCTACCTCCAGTATCAGTTGCCCGACCTCCAGGCCGCCCGCTTCAAATGCTGCACCATTTTCCTATTACAAGATCGATTGGCTATAGAGTACTCGAGAAATGTGATGGTTGTTGTATTGTACTCACATGGATATTGATTATCCTAGGGAGCGGGTGTTTTGTATTAGCACCACCTTCGATAGCAATACCTAAAATTGGTTTGGTTTTCTTAACTGTAATGTGTAAGTTGCCTCTATGATCAGGTACGACGTTTGGATTGTGTTCATGTGTTTGTTCAGTCGTTGAACCACCATTCTGCTCAGCGGACAGACGCTGCATGGACTGCAAAAGATGCAAACGAGACAAAGTCGAGCCATAAAAATAACATTAGTAGAGATATTGTATAACGAGGATTTCTATATGCATGGCTGAAAAAAGGAAACTAATGCTAGACAAACTAGAACTAATACTTAAAATAGCTAGGAATTCTAGTTCAAATCGTGTCTGGATTCTTGAGTATCAAAGAATTAAGCTAGCTAAGTAGATTTGGTGTGGGAATTGCAGGCAAAGATATATGCAAGTATTTTCTGGAATTTGGTACACTGTTTGGTATTTTGTGTGGCTCAAATAAAAGGAAAGCAGTTCAAGCTAAGGTTAAGGCCAGATTAAGTTAACAAAGATTAATAGTATTAAATATATTTAAATGGCATAATTGTTGTAGTTTCTTTTTGAGAGAGATGTAGAGTAGAGAGAGAGAAAAGGAGAGATTTTTGTGTGTTTTGTTTTGTTTGGAATGAGTCATGAAATGCTTGAGGCGATCAAATTGTATTAAATTTTAGCTGGTGTGGGAGAGGACAGCAGAATATACTGGCAAAAGTAGTATGGTAAAATTGTACTTGGAGAGGAGAATTTTGAACCGCATTTCCGTTTTTTTTTCTGATTATTCTGTTTTTGGTTTTTTGGTTTTTTGTAGCTGTTGGCATTCATGTGCTTTCGTATAACTGGTATTTATTTATCTTTAGATATCTGTTATTTTAGTGTGCTTGCACTAGAGTTGTAGTAGCACTCACCTGATGCCTTCGTACACCTTTATCGCCCAGCAATGTGCCGCCTTCTTCCTTCATATCGAAACTTCTTGAGAGTTTTGTGGCCAACTCCTAATATTTTTTGTTTTTTTTCGTATTTTCAGTTTCAATTTTTTCAGATACGGTCACATTTTGATTTAACAAATATTTTTGTTTGATTTGTTTGTTTTTTTTTTTTTTTTTGCATAGTGAGCAATTTGATCAAATTGTTTGATTGATTTTGGTTGTACAATAAGTTGAATGTAAAATGAAAATAGTAGAAAAATTTGCATAAGAATTTGTTGTAGTTGGTTGGTAGAAGAGATAAAAACTTTGTTGATTTCTTGGTATTATTTGCTTTATGTGTGTTATGTGCTTAGACATACATATTTATAAATGATGTTCTTGATTTGCTGCCTTTTTTCAAATTGTTTGCTATTTGTTTTGCTGCTCGTTCACTTGCAAACATACAGATAGAAACTTAATTGAATAAAGTATGACATTTCACTGTACGGCGGAATAGAGTAAAATTGAGTAGTGGGTAGGTAGGGTGGTGGCTTCGGTTTGGTGGGTCAGGGGGCTGGATGTGGTGTTTCTGTGTTGGGACAGACAGTTGGAGATTGCGTATCGATTGCCAATCAAAGTGGATTGAGCTGAGCTGATTTACTTTTCATTGACGAGCTTTCATTTTTGCATTCGATTTTTCTTCCTTTTTTTTTTGACCTTTTATGATATTGGATTAGCTCTTTGACAGAAGCATATACAACTGCTTGATTGGCTTTGGTTTTTGAACTAAAAGAAATCACTCGAAATGAAGAAGAGTTGCTGGACAAAGAAATGTATGAAAAATCATGTGGATAATTTATATACATGGACTCGCATGAGATATCCATCGATATATCGTTTATTCACCCGTTTGGGCGTGCAATCAGGAATGGAAAACTCTTTCCAGTGTCACTTAACAATGACTTGATGTGCGGAAATAGGTAAATACCTCTTTCCTTTCACCGTACGTACTTGTGCACTGGGCACTCTTGACAAGGTGCAAAACTCGCTCCCAAATCAATTTATAAACATTAGCACGTGATGTGATACCAAAGTCCATTCCCATGTGAAGTTTGTCAATTTGCTTTATCATTTATTGAAAATCTCAGTTCATAGTCCATTCAGACTACGGCCAGACCAGGCATAGCACTAAGGATTAGGTTCATCTGAAAATTGAGTCTCAGGTGCAAGTTATGAGTATGCGAGAGTGCTGGTGTGTGTTCGTGTGTCCAAGGATCTGTTTATGTTTGTCTGCGGACATGTGTGTGTGTGTGTGTGTTGGTGCACTTTAAGGCTTGGCAGCTATACAATTATTTAAGTAAGTACTTGATACAAAAACGACTTGCAAAATTGGCAGCTAATACACTTAGATTTTGATGGCTACACTAATTGGGCTAAGAATTTCCAAGTTCAATTGGAATTCGGTGAGGCAAAGCGCTAACTAAAGCTTCAAGAACTTTCAACTTACGAGTATTGTATTGTATTTTACAGGTCTAGGAACTTGCTAACTACAACTAGGAAAGAGTGCTGTGTGGATCAGTGTGTGTTTGGTGTGTGTGTGTGTGTGTGTGTGTGTGTGTGTGTGTGTGTGTGTGTGGGGCAGCAGCAGCTAAAGGCCAAAACAAATGGGGAGTTGTACACTAATTACAGGGCAAAGGAAAAAGTACCGAAAAAATACTACTGAAAACATTATGTGTGAAGGGTGATTCGGTGGACCAAGACCAAAAAAAGATTGGTTTGATTTGATTTGATTTAATTTGATATCGGTGTAAGACTTGGCGTGTGTTTATATAATTCAGGGTGACTCATGCGTAAATGTGCAAATGTATTTTTCAAGCTTTTCTGTTCTTTTCTGGTTTATTATTTTTGACATTATTTTTTTACGTTTTTCCGTCTATTTTCGGTTATTGGTTTTGGCCATTTAGATTGCATTCGTTGACTCTTGGCATCGATTTAGTTTTGTGTCTAGTTTAACTTTGGTTTTTAGGTACTTACATTGACAATTTACTTTACAAAGAGACTAAGGAACTCTAGATGAAAGATTTGTTAAGTGCATCACGATTGAAAATAAATTAAAAATGATACAAATGGAAAATAATAAATATTGGAGTGGATTGAATGACTGGTGGTGTGGGTGGGGGTGGGGCAAGCAAAATTTTATTTTTAATGAGAACACAAAATGGAAATACAATTCCTACGAATACAATACAAAATTCTGGAAATGCAGTTTAATTTAATTTAATTTAATTGAATTTTTTAGTTGTAGTTTTTTTTATTGCACTTGTTTTTGTGGTGGTTGTTGCAATGCACATACAAAACAGTTAAGTTTGGTTAGTTAGTTAGTTAGTTTAAAGAGAGACAGTGACAGAGTTACAGAAAGATAGAGAGAGAGAGAGAGCGTAAGTGAGAGAGTGAGATAGCAACAATCTAAGTTTCAGGCTAAATTGAATGCAACGAGAAGATGCAGATCGAAAAACAAAATGCAGACTGTGAGAGAACATTTGGCAGACACATTTTTCACTCAAGTATCGAGCACAATTTCAGTTTTTGTGGTTGCTGGTGTTTGCTTTTTTTTTAATTATGATTAAGTTTTTGTTTTTTTTTTTTTGTGTTGGTTTTCGTTTAACATTTAACGAAAAATACATTGGCACTTACTAGAGGTCGTCCCCAATACCATGATTTGACACGTTGTGTTAAACCACCCAAATGTGAACGTAGTCCATCTAAGTAGCCGCCCTGAAATGCACACAAATGAACAAACGAGAACAATTTCGGGGGGAGTACGGGACGAAACAAAAAATGAAAATGAAAAATACACACAAATCCAACACAAGAAACGATCTGGGTTCTGATGAATCTGATGAGCGGAAACGAAAAGTGAGAGTGCCGCGTGAAATGAGAGGGCTCTAGGGGAAATTATGAAACGAAAAATTAGTGTGTTCTAAGTATACGTACGAGTACTGAAACTGAACGGAAAATAAGACGGAGAGTTGGATTTTGTGGGTCTTTGTGGGGTTGGTACCTAGGTTGTATAATAGCTATCTATTCAAGCTACTTTCCAATTTTTTACTGGATACACGCGATAAAAGTACATAACTCTACGGGTTATTAATATTAGTGGCTTTTATTTGGTTTTACCTAAACCATTGTATAAGTCAACTATAGAAATGTGGGCTCCTAAATATATATATTTCAAGGGATTTTATAATATATTTAGATGGGCGGTTAGAATATAGAACTATGTATTTTTTTTTACTTCTACCAAAAAATTGCTACTGTAAGAATATATTGGAATGCTATCCCTTTGTTGTTGAATTATTTCAATTGGGTGCTACTCTTTACATAAACGCTCAAATATAGTTCCTTACTAAAAGAAATGGGTTTTCTATATTTTATAAGGTTTTTAAATCATTAATATATATTTTTGTTGAATTATAGATGTGTTTTTCTTATAAATGAATCTTTTTATTGTGCAAAGTGGTGGCTCTGCAACATTTTGGTGTAGCTAGCAATAAATGTTCCTATCAAATGTTGCTGGTAAAGAAAATGTTGCTGGCATACTTTCAGGCAACAAAATTCATGTAGAAATAATGTAGAATCGCCATTTGCGGGCGGGCGTCCAATTTTTCTCAATTTTTGTTCCTAATCACTGTTTAACCAAAGGCTAATCTGTCTATTGTAACTTTTGTTTGAATCACTCCATACATTCTGCCAACAGCTCTATTTGTATATATTTATAGACCAACAGACTCTTCTTTCTGGAAGCAGCAGAATGCATTTCCGTACTCAGGCAGATTCTGTTCCCCTTAGACTAGACGAGGAGTAGGCTTTGACTTGGGCTTACTTGGATACATTGCTGCTTGCTTAAATCTTTTCATGCTGAATTTTCGCTGGGCTGCTGCGGTACCAATACAATAAGATATTTCCGTTGTGTTTATGCCGTTTTACGCACACTGAAAAATACGACGGCGTGGCACTGACTATACTAAGATCATTCCTTCCTTCTACAACTAATAAAACTTAGCAAACGCGTTAATTTGCTAATTAGCTTTGACTTCGGTTATGTCAAAACTGTGTGCGGTAATCTCATCAAAAGTGGCACGTAAGCGTCCCCTCAGAGCGCACCCCTCATCGCCGCCTAGTTGCATTTGAAAATTATGCACACGCCACAAAGCCGGCAGCGAAATTAGTTGGAGGAATTGTTCAAAACGAGTAGCTGCGGGCTTAGAGTATTTACAAGAGTTTTCATTTTGGTTTTTTACTCATTTGGTTTGGTTTGGGTTTGGTTAGCTACAATTGCTTCCTTATTGGGGTTTTTCTTTGTTATGTTATGTTATGTAGGTGTGTTTCTGTGTGTATGTGTATGTTTTGGGTACAGTTTGAAGTGTTTTGTGTCTGTGTGTGGAAAAGATAGTTTCGAAAAAGTGCTTAAAGTGTAACAAACGACGAATTCAGCGAGCAGCCAATGAACGCCAAGTGCTTACCTGTTCCTGTTTTCCGTTCATCGAAATCCATCCATCCACAAATCAGATTCGATTGCGCATACGCAGCGTATGACCAGGGGAGCAATGGAAAATAGGAGAGAAAAAGAAATCCCAGAAAAGAGACAAATTAATTATCACATCATTACAGCTAATGAGCATTAGCATCTCTTTTCAATGCCAAATGCAAACGCCTTTCTGGCCATCAACATCAGCTGCCGCCGCCTCGGACCAAGTTTTCTGTTTGCGTCATGCCAGAGCAAAGCAAAAAACAAAACAAAAGACCAAAATACAACAACAACAACAAAAAATGGAAAACATAGAGGGGAAACAGAAACAGAAAACGCCGCACAGCTGCAGTAGCCGTCAGCTGCAGTTACACAGTATCCCGTAGATACAGATACATCTTACAAACATTTACGAGCATTTGTCACCCCAGTGTTGACCGTTGCGTAAAGCGTACAATTCCATACTTCACAGCTAGTAAATCTTAGATATAATTACAGTATAATTTTTAGCCATAAATATTGGTAATCTTTGTGTATCAAGTGGCTTTGTTGTCGTCGCTGTGGGTAATTTTTTACATTACTAGGCCATAAAAAGTAACTTGGAAAACGTTCGTTCAGTGGCCCGACATCAAAGAAAGCAAAACCCAACCAACGCCACAAAAAAAAAGACATGATGAAATGAGAGTTCACTTTGAAGACAACCAGTGGATACTCTTTTGAGTTAAAGGAATACTATATACTCGCATATGTATCCAATAGGTGTTTGCTCTTGCTTGAGAATACATTTTCCCATCATGCAAAGCCTAGACTTCACCTAATCCTCACATTATAACCCAATCTCTTGTCTTTCACTAATCAAAACATTTATAAACTCTCCACAACTCTGTCCGAGAAAGAGCAACTAAGCCGCTGCTTCTGTTGTCACTGTCTGCTGTCTGCTGCTGCTGCTGCTGCTACTGCTGTGGCTGTGGCTGGCTGGGCAACGTTGGCTTTTGGCAGCAGCCGCAACAGCAGTCATAGCCACAGCAGCAGCAACCACTCCAGCTCCAGCAGTGGAGACTGCCCCAGCCACAGCCACAGCCACAGCTCTACCTTCAGCAAAGTCTGCAGTTTCAGTCGAGCGTCGTCGCTCCAAGCGTGAGGTTCAAGTCAAGAGAATACCGAGCATTGTAGTTCAAACCGGAGATCAAATCTAACCAGCAAAAACAAAGTGCGTATAACGAAGTTTCAATTCAAACACACACAGACACACACACACACACAAACCAGTTGACAAATCTCGCGTTTCGTTACATTTCGCGCTCTGTTTGCGGCCAAATTGTTGCATAAATGCGAGTAATGGCAGCAGCAGAAGTCGTCCCTGATTTGCCACCGTTCAGATACGGTACCCAGTCCTCCGCTCTTCTGCCTTGCCGTGATTATATCATCATCAGTCGTCTGTTTGGGGTACTGGAACTGTGGCAACAACAAACAACAATTGCTGCAGAGCCGCATGTCGGACATGTGTCGGCAGCTTTATTTATTTGCATTTTGCATTCAATTAACTTGTGTTTCTCACCTTTTTTGGCTGGGCTAATTTCCTACTCTTTTCTGCTGTTTTATGTATGTTTTTAATTGCCCAAGAAGAGCAAGAGCCGGAGCCGGAGTCGAGTTTCAGTTGATTTGTTGACTGACTGACTGACTTCTCTTTGTTTGGTCTGTCTTTCTTTTTCGTAATTAAGTTGCTGACGGAAATGGGGGGATTCTAAGTGGCAAGGCAGTGGAATAGTTGCTAAACATTTCGACCCAGAAAGGCCATTGGACAGGCAGTGGGAAGGAAAGCCAAAAGGCTCCAAAAAAACCTACATAAAAGTACAGTTTTAATGGCTGTCGGTTGTGGTGCGGGATGAAGGGAATTGAAAGCTATTAAAGCTATACTTAATTGTTATTGGAAAGAGTATGAAATGGAACTGAAATTTCAGTAAATATTTAAAATCTCTAAGCAAAAATACAAGCGTCCAATTAACCAATCGACTGTGACCTACTTCCCATCAGATGATCAACATTTGTTCATAGATTTGATCAATTATAATATAATCGTATTCTTCCAGCCAATATTCGAATATTCGAATATTCGGTCAGCTGTCAGCTTATTATTTGTGGGTCAATGAGCGCTGTATGCCCGAAATGTGAACAAAATTATTCACAGACAGACACACTGTCACAACACTAAGCCCGGCCAGCTCCGACAGCTCACAGATCTGACTTCATCACAGCCACAACAATAGTGTGAATTAGAGAACAAATTAAATGCTCACCTTTTGTTTGACTTTGGAAAAGTTTAAAAAAGGTTCAGACGCACAGAACCGAACCAGGGGAAAAAGTTTCACCAGAACCAAAAGGAACAAACTCCAACTCCAAACTCAAAGTCACAGACACAGACCGGGAAACACACAACTTTCACAAAAAAACGAGCCATGCGAGTACAAGAAAGAAAAATATCTTTTCCGAAGAATAAAGAAAACTTCCAGTCAATTGTCTGCTGTCAGCCCATTTAACTGTATTTTCCCTACGCACTTCATCTTTGGACCATTTTTTTTCCCCCTCCAAATTTTTCAATAATTTTTTCTTTAAGCTGCTGGGGCGACCGTTTCAAAATCAATCAAATTTATGACTTTGCAAACTTTTGCAGGCAAGTTTTTGTCTCGTTATTGCTGGCGTTTTTTTTAGCCGGAGCTCTAGCCATCGTTGAATTTTGTGTAACTTGAATCGAAAAGCTGGCAATCATCATTCATGGCACATGCCATTGACCTCGTTGCGTGGCAGTTGGGGGGATTGCGGTGGGATCACGGGGGCAACACTCTGTCATTAGATACGCATTCAAGCGGGGCGTTCAGGGGCAGGGGAGGCAGGAGGAGGATTTGCAGATTGGTCCACCACATCAATGGCGTTGGTTGCCAAATGTATTTCGATATCAATGTGGAATTTCATTAATGCCCGTACAAGGTCGCAAGCATTAAATAAAATATCAATTTTACATTTATAAATTGTCATCTGAAAACAGAAACTCGCAGCAGCAAACACACATTGCAAATATTAACAACAATCAATCAAAATTAATTTCAATACAAAATAAATACGATATACAATTAAAACTGGAGATTGGCTCAAATTTCTCAACAAAGAGCAAAGTTTTGCATATTGAAACAAACTTTTCCCACCGCAATTCATTCCCATTGAAGCTTTTCGATTTTCTCGTTCTATGGGTTCTGTTCTGTTGAGTTTTATACAATTCATATCGAAAGTTTCGTGGATTCAAATGTTGCTACCGTTTTGCTATAAAGAGAACGGAAACTAGAGATCCGCCCTGTCTAAAGTTAGAAACCCCCACTGGTGCACCCCTTGCCGTAGATAATTAATAATGCCAAGAAATGGGAAGAGCTCTGCAGACCCCCAAACGGCGGCTAAAGAGTTCGTCATAGCGGTTAATCAACTTTAAAAGAATTGGCAGCTCGGCTCGCTCTCCCTTTGGCCACAATTAGGGTTTGTACTCATTGCGATGGTATCGGAGAGGGGATAAGAGTGTTTTCTAATAGCAAACAAGTCTAAAAATCTCCATCTCACAATTACGTTTTACACTCATTGAATGTTTGGACCGGATTTCAGTTTGTCTTTCGTTTTTGTTGCTTTTTGCTTTTTGCTACGCATCCAAATGGTTTATTTACATTATAAACAACATTTTCCATCTCCCTCACTCTATCTTTTTCTCTCCTCTCTCTCTCTGGTAGAGACGATTTACTTTCCATTTATGTTTGCTCTTGACAAAGTTTTGTACCTTATTTAGTACATTTCTCTAATGACCCACTTTGAGTTTTTGGTCTCGTCTGCTCTCCCTTCCTCTCAATCCCCCCCCCCCCTCTCTCTCTCTCTCTCTTTCTCTCTGTAATTTCGAAAAAAGAAAGAAAAGCTAGCTTCGTGGAGCGAAGTCTTTGATACCCTTTGCAGATCGATAGAACCTACGAACGGATGGGATCTTTATTTGCATGAATTATCTTCACAATTCGAAGAGTTGTCTGATCATACTATACTATAAATAGGGTAAAAGAAATACCTTCCTTCTAAGCATTGCAAACATCTGTTAAAAAATCATAGTACCCCCCCTTGCAAGGGTATAGCAAGTGAGTGTCCCATAAGCCCAGACCAAGAGACAAATACAAGACACAGTAAACAGCAACATCAGCAACAACAACAAAAAGTTGTTTGTCAGTTGTAGTTGAAATCAAACTGGTTACTCGATGCTGTTGTTGCTGCTGTCCAGGCAGTCTGTGTCTGGGTCCGTCCAATCGTTCACCGTTCATCGGCTTTGGTCAAGCCGGGCCCAAATGGTGTCAGCTGTGTAAGCAGGGCTAAGCAAGCGGATCGCCAGCAGTTTTGCCCCTTCCTTTCCCTGTTTCCTACCATTTTGCGTGGCTGTCCGAATCAATTGCGAAGCCAAGTCGAATGAAAATCCTGCCCTGAACTTGACGATGCATGTGATACGGTTGAACGCCTTTTGCGGAAATTATTGCAATTTTCTTGTCTTCTAGCCAACACACATCTTATGCAGTTGGGAGTGAAAATGGGGAGGGGTTGGCAGCTTTTGGTGGTAAATGTGCTTTCACTTTTACAACACTTCACAAGCAGGAGGAGGAGCTGAAGGAGCGGCGCTGGCCAAACAAACCACTCAAGGAAGTTCGCTCAAAGGGGAAACATTCATTAGAACTTTGAAAATGTGTAGAGCTGGGAGGGGATGGTTTTTCAACAATTCAAAACAAATCCTAAAGTTGCCACCAGGACTCTTCTGGGAAGTATTTAAATCTGCACCCATAAAAACAAGTCCCTTCAAAGAAGTACTTTGTAATATCATGAATATTTAGTGGCTAAGAGTTCTTTCTCTTTGTGTTTATCTCCACTGCTAACCCTTAAGTTCTGCCCAATATTGCAATGCACTCTAAATCCTAAAGTTCACTTAAGGATTTTCTCGGAATAAGCCCGGACTTAGCGTGGATTTTCAAAGCACAAATGCACTTCCTATGCTGGGCTTTACTGGTCCCCCCCTGGTCATTATGCAGACTTTTCCAACCAACTTAAACTGGCAAACACTCAAACAAAGTCCACTTCCACATTGATTGCAACTTGGTTAAACAACAACAAATCATTTAAACAAATCAAACCCCAACAGGCACGGCAGAGGAGACACACTCACGAAGCGGAAGGAAGGGCAAACATGGAGACCTATCTGACAGAGATCAAACAATTGCGCATACCACGCCCGAAATTCGAGCCGAACCAATGCCACCAGCAACACCAACACGCGGTGGCAGGCACATCGACAAGCTCCAGCACCACCTCCAACACGCCCACGCCCCCCCATCATCATCAGCGACCGTGGCGACACTTTGTGCGACCCTTTACGCCGCCACGCGATTACCATCTGCCGATGGTGGCCGGAGGAGCATGGTCCGCGGAGGAGGCCTCCATGCACGACAAGATGTGAGCAGAAGTAGGCGGCAGAAGGCGGTCTGCGGTCTGTTCGACCTGGCATCGAATTGCTTACACTTATTGGCTATATGCACATGCTATAAATATATATAAATATACATAAAGATATAACTCTATACATACATACTTATAATTGCATAAATTAGTGATTCAGTTTAGTGTTTAGTTAGTTTAGTTTACCTTAAATATTGAGATACAGTTACAGATGCAAAGAATAAAGTATACAAAAAGTTGTAGAGTTTGCTTTGAGCGTGTGTTACTTGTCTGGGGTTGAGGTAGGAGTACGAGTACGAGTATATTGAATGGCGCATAGAGAGATGTGCTGATCGAAATGATGTGTTTCATTATGATATATGTGAGAGATATATGATAGATAGCTTGGATAGATTTAAGGATAGATAGACCTAAGAAATTAATGATTCTTCTTTATTGTCTTAACTTGTATTTAGTTTCCCCCATTGATGATCAGCAAAATGCAATGACCTTTAGCGATCTACTTGTTTCTTTTGCAGTTATCTAGATCCCTGCAGCACCTCGACCAGATTAAACCCAATCGCTTCGCTTACTCACCGCATCTTGTTCGTATTCCGGTAATAGGGTTTCGCTTCCCCGGCGAGCTCTAGTTCTATGCTCATCACAGCCGTATTCCTAGCCGGGACGAAAGAATTTACAAAAATATTTTTCAGCTTCTGGTATGCTTTTGTTTTGGGTGACCAATTTCAAGAATATACTTTTAAATACTATTACAACAATTAACAGCCAATTGGACAACATTTAAGAAAGGAAGAGAAACATAGCCGGAAACAGAGAACGTTTAAACATAAACCACATTAAACAGATTCACTGACATGGAAAGAAATTTAAATACGTAAATATAAATCACGACATCAGACGGGACACACAAAAGGACAAAGAGACAAAGAGAAAGAAAGACACACACAATGGTACACAGAGATAAATAGAACCGATTAAATGGACAGACAAAGAGAGAGAAAACTGAAATCCTCAAAACGCGCCGATCTTATAGGCCCGAATGTCAATTTTGCATACCCCCCCGGGTGGGGTGCTATAATTTTGTAGCTTCATGAGATTATAACATACAATAGGATACGGTTTAGAGAAAAATATAAAACGAAAATGAAAGTTATGGCAACTTTGAAATTATTTTAAGAGAATAAAAGAGACAATTTCTGAAGATGGGTACAGAATACTTTTAGAACTTTTTTGAAAGAATTTCATACTTGGAAAGTTTTGCATTAGCTAGAAGATTAATAATTTTGTGGGTGGGGTGGGGGTAAAGAACAGAGTTTCCTAGTATAGTGAAAGTAATCGAAGAGTGGGGGCTAGCTATTTAATTTGTTTGCTTGATTTGCTACACTTTTTTGTTTGGTTTCACACACGCATCATATCATTCCTGACCTGTTGCTGATTGTCTTTGGTTTGCTTGAATTTCAACTGATTTGGTCCCGACTGTTGGTGGTGTTGGTGCTGATGATGATGATGACGCATAGACACAGATCCCACGTTGCCGCTGTTGATGCCACCCAGATGACGCAATGAGGCATGATGAGGTGGATAATGTTGTTGCTGTTGATTTTGCTTTTGCTTTTGCTGCTTTTGTTGTTGCTGTTGTTGGGGTGTTGGCGATAATGATGATGAAGATTGGTTACTTGCTGTCTGATAATGTGATGCTGGCTGTGCGCGATGCAGTATTGGTCCCGCCGACATGGGCCGATATGGCAACTGGATTGCGGGTCTAATTCATATACACATACATATATACACACATATATAATATACGATATGTCAGTTAACAGTTGCTGTTAGGATTGTAGGGTGGGGCTGGGATTGGGTCGGAAATGAGGAGGAGGGAGAAGGAGAAAGGGAAGGGCAATGGTCAGAGTGGAGTTATTTTCAAGGTACCGTTTGTGTATATCCGTGACGGTCATGCCTAGTCCCGAGTCCGATGAGGGACTACGTCCGGTGGCGGCTATAATCTCCAAATCGTCAGCTGTTACCTGTTGGGGGAACGGAACGTAATGGAACGGAATGGAACGAAACGAAACGAACGATTTGGATTTGGATTTTGCATACGATTTCAGAGAGCGAGTGACACAGTGAGGAGGCAGGGCAGTGACAGAGACAGTAACAGTAACAGTTTGACAGATTGATTGAGTGAGTGAGTGAGTGAGGAGCGTTGGGAGAAGGGATTCTAAGACAAAGCTTTGGTTGAGTTCGTTTTACTGAGCATTGTCAGAGAAAGAGACAGAGAGAGATAGAGAGAGGGAGTTGAAGAGCAACAGACAGAGAGAGAGAGAGAGAGAAATAGGGAGAGAGTGTGGGAGTGCTTCTCTTGATATAGTATAGCCCTATAGGATATATAGTATATTTATATTTATATGGTGAGGGTGCTTGATCTGGTTGACTGTTTTGGTGTTCCGTTAGGTGCATTTTGATTGTGGGATTACGTAGTATATTTAATTTGATATTTTACAGTAATTTTAATGCTTACATAACTATAGCCCCAAAAGCAATTTGTTTTATTTTGTAGTATTTGCTTTACTTTCATTCAATTTCATTTTGGTTTTTTTGTATTTATTTACATCAATAAATTCATTCCCCTTTGGAGGCAACTGTACTTGTGCTTTTACCAAAAGGTAGAAGAACTGTTTTTTCCTCTAAAACTCAATTTAAATTTGCGGGTTTTCTTGTAAAAATTGACATTCGTTTTCGTTTGTTTCTGTTCTGATTTATTTCATGTGGATTTAGCAGGGGGCCGAATTAGAAGTAAGCGACTAAGTAGATTCGGAAAACTGTCACAACTGAACAGAAAGAAAGAAAGAGAAAAGTACGAATAACATGCAGCTTTTGGGAAAATTAAATAAAGCATTAACGGGTTTCTGGTTTCAAGGTGGGCTATACATAGAAGTCTATAGAGTGTTAGTATCTCGCTCAGCAATTAAACTACAAGTTTCGTTTTCGTTTTTGTTTTGTTTTTTTCCAGTGTTATTTATGTATTTAGTCTACAGATAAATCGTTAATGTTAAAGTAAAAGTTACAAACAGACAGTGACCACAATCAACAACGACAATAACAATAACAATAAGAAGAGAAAGATTTACTAAATAATAAACATCTCGTAGGAGAGAGAGTAGATATACTCGTACAGTAGACGGCTGATCTGTTAGACTTTACTTGGCTCAACATGCTCAGTGTGTGTGTGTGTGTGTGTGTGTGTGGGCGAGAGACGTGTGGGTCTCTCTGATCTAGGTATATATGGTGTCTGGGTCGTACAATAAATCTTCTAAAAAGCTTACCGGCAAATCACGGGCGGGGTCTCCCTTACGCTATAAATAAACATTAAACAGCATATTAAACACATGCATTTAGGATAAAGTTAGAGGCAGTTCCACGCTCACCCTGTGCCTGTCCACGCTATAAGGATCGCGTTCCCTGCGATAGACGAGCTCATCGTATCGCGTGCGATCCTCGGGGAACACAAGTTCTCGGATCTCCGTCACTAGCGTGTGCTGGGAAGGAGTATTATCAAATATAATTTACTATTGCGTAAATTGAAGAACTGTGCTTACCTTTTCGTACGTATCTAACATCTCTAACAAGACGGCAACAAAGGCATCTATGGTCATTGCTTTCCCACTATACTCTGCAATATAGTAGGAGAGGCTTGCAAAATGATGACGGGGCAGCAGAGAGCGGGCCTTCTCCTCCACCATGGTCGCAATCTGACCTTTTCGGCGTGCCCTATAACATATTTCAGTGTTAGAAATATCCTGGTAGAGAAATGCCGACCTCTGTACGATCCTCACCTTGTGCCTGTTGGACTGTAGGCATCCCAGGGCTCCATCTCGATGGAGGTACAGGAATGCGGCACTTTGCCCACATCACGTATCACCAGCGACATGCGCTTGTGGTATTTCAACTGACCAACGGCCTCGTCGTGCGTCACATCGAGAAACGATTGGCCATTGACCTCGAGGATTTCGTCGCCGATCATCAGACCACACCGATCGGCCACACTATCCTTGTCCACACCGGTGACAAAGATGCCCAAGCCGTACTCCACGCCGCCGCGTATCATCAGGCCCAGGGATTGTCCCGGCTCTATGAGCAGCTCTACCCGACGTATCCTGAAGGGGTAATAGATGATTAAGGATGGACTTCTTCTGGCCGACATTGGACTTACCGATCTCGTCGATCGCTCCGTCTGCCCCCGTATTCCATGGGCGGCGAGGCGGGCCTACCATGCCGATCCATCCAGGAGCAGGTCTGCCGGAAGGGCAAGCCCGCTCCCGATGCCGCCGCCGCCGCTTGATTCTGTGGATGCAGGGGTGGTGCCATCGACGCGTACATGGGATCGCGGGAGGGTGGTCCAAATCCATGGAGCGGCGCCGTCGAGTTCAGCGTGGGTGGGGCTCTCACCGTCATACTGATTTGACGTGACGATTTCAATATCTGCACACATCTCTGCGTTAAGAAAAAATGTGGCAATAGAAGAGACACAAAAGAGAGGACAGATGCGAGCAGAAAACGAACGAACCAACAAGAAGAGAGACAGAGTAAAAGAGTAAAAAGAGAAACGGGAGCAAAAAGTACAAAATTAAATCAAACCCAACAGAACCGAACCGAACCGTATAAAAACCCAAATAAATAATGGGATTCAAAAATTGCTTTGCAAAAATTTGAAAATTAAATATTTTACGAAAAATTCCGAAATTATTAATTAACTTGAATTGTGGGCGTGTCCGTGGCGTAGCTGTAATCCCCCCGCCCGACTGTCATTTGCTGTTGGTTTTTGTGGTTTCATGGTTGCTGTCAGGTTTTGCTGTCATTATTTTAATTGTTTCTGACCAAAAATAAAAAGAAACGAAACGAAACTAATGTGAGAATGTGCAAAATTGTATGAGTCCAAGGAGGGAACTGGCTGGGCTGGGACACTGTCGGTGCTTTGTGCTGCGTGCAAATGGGTTTGGTCTGTGAATTCACCCAGGTGTCGCCCAAAGTGCCCTTTCCACTAGATATTTCGGTTGGCTGAAACACACGCACAAGAAATTCGAATATTTCTTGCAATGCAAAGAGGAATTTTCTAGCTGCTACTTAGTTCGTTTAAGCCATCTCAATTCATAATTAGCGTTTATTTTTAACCCGTATATTGATATCAAGCTATCGCTCACTGTACTCAACTGTACTTTAGTCTTGTCGGTCAATAGAAGTTACCAAAACTAAAATTATCTAATTAAATAAAATAAAACCGAAAGCAATAAAATATATACACAAACAATTCAAATACAAAATGCGACTAATCTATTGCCAATTTTTTCTCAGTGTATATTTGTATTAGTGTGTTATTGGATTTTATACTTTTTCGTTTCTCAAATGTATTTTTGCGTATTTGGTTGAGTAATATTCATACAAAAATGTATCAAGTGCATTAAGGTTGTTGTATACGTATATTTTTATGTATTTGCATAGAAAAAACTACTGGAAAAATCGTTCAGAGCAGACAGAAATTGATACAGCTATAGAGGGAGGGTGGGAGGTATTTTCCAACCACACACCATTGATATATTTGCATATATAGACATATGTATCTTCCAAAACAAGTTTTGTAGAAAATGGTTAAACTTTAAATTGGTGAAAAGCGTGAGAAATGGCACAACATGTTCCAGTCAGTCCCCTGTCCCTCTTTGATGCTCTCCTTTTTTTTTTTTAGCAATCTAGTAATATATATGAGGAATTATATTGACTATCAGAACGTGTCACATAAAATATTCCACAATAAATTGACTTTCGTTGTTAGACAGCTGCCGGTTGTCGGGGAGTGGAAGGGAGGAAGCCCTTCTTTTCGTTACTCTGCCAAGTGTCGGCCATAAAAGACGATGTTGGCCTACTGAATATAGTCTACTTGTTATACATATACATGTACATACATGTATAAAAGCTTGATGGATAGGACGCCATTAGGGCCAACTATTAAGGGGGACAACGTTTGACAAACTGAAGCTGCCCGGACTAGGGCTAGGCCAGACTCTATTCAAGAAAATCGCATTAAAAATCAATAAAGTGTACAATAAAATTTGATATTTTTGATACGAGATGAGTTTGACATTGCTGTCAGTGTCGGAGGATGAGCATAGAGAAAGAGCGGAGTGACAAGAGTGTCCCCTTCTACACAGTTGCCTTGGAAGTTTCTACTTTGAGTTTGGGCTAGCAGATTTGAACCCTTTTCTTTCACTACATTGTTTTCCGCATGCTCTAATCGATTTTTGTCTAAGAATAGAGAGAACATGAGCTACTACAAAATATATATTTCATAAATATAGAAAAGGAGATATAAATAAATATATTTGCGTATAAATTATTCGAGGGATGCTCACCTTCAGCGCCTCCTCGTGATTGATTGAGGTGAATGGGGTGCCGTTCACCTCTAGGATTGTATCACCCGGTCGCAGTCCGGCGCGCTCGGCCACCGAATTCTCCTCGATGCGTGAGATGTAAACGCCCAAGCCTGGATACCATCGAAACAAAAAGGGAATCAATTAGCTCAGAGACATTCACTGCTCAACCAAAAGTCCCCTATCCCCATTACTGTCCCTAACCTATCGGCAACACCGTGCCCGGCCGGCGGCCCTTTCCTTGGCCCTTTTTTTTCGTTTTTTTATTTTTATTTTTTCATTAAGCTCTGCCAAGTTGCCTGGAAGTGGTTTGCGGATGGAGTGCGGCAGCCATTTTATGTTTAATTTATAAATCACATGTGCATGTGTGTGTGTGTGAGTGTGCTGGCCAGACAACACAATGCCAGAAGGAGATAGAGAAACAGAGACAATGATGGAGCAATGGAGAAAGAATAGAGAAGAGTAGAGTAGAGTAGGGAAGTGGAAAGGAGAGTGCCTGCCTGCATACGGGGGCAACTTAAATAGATTTTTATCGATTTTAAAGCCCCATCCGCATATTGCAAACTAAAAATAAATTCAAGCCACTGCAGGAAATGGGAATGAAAGAGGCAGTCTTTAGAGGAGGAGAAGAAGGGACTGCGCAGGGGTACTGCGGATGTGACTGTGGCTCTGGCTATGGCTGTGGAGGCAGGAAGAGCTGGTTAGCCAAAAAGGTAGTCAGGTGCAAAAATGCACTTGGAAATGTCAAAGCTTCTGGCGGTTTGTCACACACAAACACACATGCACACACGAATGGAAAGCTGAAACGGAGAGAAACGAGAACCGAGAACCTAAAACCGAGAGAGAATCAACAATATAAAATGAAATTGAAAACTAAATTGCACGAAAGTGGTTCCTCAAGCTAAAACACAGAGACAGAGAGACAGAAAGAAGGGGCAAAAGGGGGCGATGGAACACCTAAACCGACTACGCGTGACATCAACTCAAACAGCAAGAGGCGTGGTTCGCAATCTGTCTTTGAGTGGGTGATAAAGTGCAGAGAAATGTCATCTATCTTTGGCAGTAATTTGCAAAGGAATCAACAAGCAGCCCAACTCCTGCGACATTTTGCATACCTGAGTCTTTGCCTCCTTTGACACAGATACCGAAGCCATGATCGATCAGCTGATCGCGCGACATGGAAACGGTTCGCGTCGTTAGTTCGTGAATGTTGGGAACACTGCGATCTCGTTCCCGCTCACGATCCCGATAGATCTGCAAAGGGAAACGAAATTAGACATAAATATGTGTAATGCTTATGGGAGAGATGCAGCCACCCACCTGATGCGTCGTCGAGGGCGGACTGCTGGCCGGACTGCGTCGTCCGGTGCGATCGCGGGTGCCGCCATTGCTGTAGTGATAGCTACTCGTAGGAACTGAAGACGACTGCGTGGCGCCGAACATGCGCAGCACCTGCTCCGGCGATATGGGCCGCTTCTTGTTGCCGTTGCCCATCGACGACCGCCCACTGGCCGCCGTTGAGGTGGGCAGGGTGCCCGCCGTGCCGGCGGCCATATGGCTGGCGGGTGAGGAGCTGAGGTACGCAGAGCCGCGTCCCGGCAGCGAGCCCCCCTTGGTGGGCACCCCCGCCGAGTTAAAGTAGTAGTGGGGCGAGTGGGGACGCTCAATGATTGTGTACGAGGTGCCTGGCGGCGAGTAGTAGAGCCCAGAGCGTCCTCCGCCACCAGCTCCTCCTCCTCCTCCCGCTCCTCCACCGGCGCGCAGCGAGCTCGTGCTATTCCCCACACGCGAGCCGCTGCCCATACCCGACGCCGGGCCCCCGTAGGGGCCGCCACTGCCGGGCGGTGGACTGATCATGCCGTAGGCCAGGCCGATGTCCTCGGCCTCGTAGCTGCTAGGAGCACCCGCACTGCTCCGCATATGGTGGGCACTGAGTCCTTGCGAGCCGCCAGTCGGCACGCTGGATGATGATTGGGTGGCGCCCGAAATGAGGCCGGCCAGTCCGCCGATGCCACCGCCACTGGGGCCGCCAAGGCCAAGTCCCGCTGCTGCTCCGCCATGATATCCGTAGGCTCGTGCACTCCAACGTGAGGGTCCAAGATCGCAAAGTTCGGCATAATCGTTGCCAGCTGCGCTCATTGTCAGGGGGTCGCCGTCGTATGGTATGCCACTTCCCCCAAGGCGCATTACACTGCTGGAGCCTGCAGGAGAAATTTAATTTATAAATTAATCGAATTAATCGGCGGATGACCCACAACTTGGATTTCAGTGCTTATATCTAGTGGAATTTTCTACACTGGATTTGCACAACATTTCTCTTGCATCCCAGCAGCCCTATGCATACATATGTATATCCCTTTTAGCTTTTGAAGGGTACTCAACCAGAATTGGGTTAAACACTCCACTCCGCTCCCGCTCTTTCGGCCAGCAACGCAAATCCAAATCCAAACCCAACAAAATCCAAAGCCCTCGCCGCGCATAACTTTTGTTTGCCTACGCAGCCCGCTAAGCCGCAGCTCAGACTGAGCCGTTTCCATTCAGCGCAAACAAAAGCTTAATCTCCAGAGTCATATGTGCCGCCTGTGCCACACACTAACACACACCCCGCGCCCCCTTCCTTTCCTCTTCCTTTTCCTGACAGACAAACACTCGCATTTACACACTCTGCGGAATCAATGGGAACTTATGCCCCATGCTTCATTATTTATGGGCCAACTTTGGTTGGCAAAACAAAAACAGGTTCCCACAAAAGCAGAGGCTCCACCCTTCCATGCCCATTCCTATTCGCTACCCCCCATCAGCGCCTGCCACTGTCCCCAGGGGGTGGAGAATGGCAATGTGCCGCCTCCCTCATAAATAGTTGAAAATTGCCGTGCTCACACTTTGGCACTCGGTTAGCCATGGCCTGGCAACGGCATGGCTCCGCACTGTGCACACACGGGCACTGGCCAGGCAACGTTGCGGCTTTAGCAGATAAAACCGAAAATTTGTTTGCGATATGCTAAGTGAAATACAACTGCATGTGCAGCTATCAAAGCATAGTGATAAATATGGTACACCATATATCTGCGAGATAGCTGAAGTCATGTGAAGAGAGCTTTCCTTTGATACAAGTATTTGTGCAGATATTGATTGTAAATCGATTAGTTGCAATGCCTTCAATCGAACAGCAAACTGAGCTTTGTTTTCAGATTTCTAATACACATTTATAAATATTTTTTTAATCAATGCTCAAAGTAGAACTATTCGAGCTTGATTCCAATTTCAAATAAAACAAAGGTAAAAGGTACCAAAAATTGTATTTCCATGCTCATCGATAACATTAATTAATTAGAGCTCTCAAAAATAATTCCAGAGATTCCTTTTCTAGGCAAGTATAAGTATTTCCCGCTATAAATTCTCATCATAAACTATTATTATTTTAGTTTATTGAAATTAATATTAATTGCTTATATCAACAACAATTAAAACTAAAAACTAAAAACTTTCCATATTTTTACATTTTTATATGCCACTTTGGCACTATATCAATCAGAAAAAGTTCCAGCCCAGGCCATCAATTGATGGCCAATAAAAAGTTGCAATGGCCGTGGCCATAAACGGAAACCCACTCAATTAATCGAGTGTGAATAGCAAATAAGTTTCGGGTACTCAAATACTCTCATGAATGGGTGTGAATGCGCGAGAGTATATGTGTGTGTGTGTGTGTGTGTGTGTGTGGGAGTATTGGTGTGCATTCTGCAGAGAAAGTGCACTTTCAGCTAACCGACAAGAGCAAGAAACAAAGCGCCGGGCAATTTGGTTTGACGCTTAAGCGCACTTAGCGGTTGCCCATTGGCAAGCACAAACACAAACACAAACAGGACACGGCCAACACAAACACAGACACACAGTCACACACACAGATATAGACAGCACAAGTGCAGAAGCACCTACGTAATGGTGGGCAATTGTGCTTACGTCTAACAAGCAGCCAATAATGTCCTTTTTGATTTACCGATACACATTTGCATTTCTTTTTCCCCTCTCTCTCTCTCTCTCGTTCTCTCTAACCCACAATAAATTGGCAAGCAGACGCCATTACAAATGAGGCACACACCAACACACACACACACACACACAACCACCCACTCACACAGAAACAAAGGAAATGTGGGGGGGAAATGTATTTTGTATAAATATCAATAAGAAGCATCAGAGACAGCTTTTCCCTATATTATATACATATGACAATAAATTTCTCTGTGGCTATTTTTCCCAACCCCCACCACACTCTCGCTGCCTAGTATTCGCCCTCTCTCTTTTATCTATCATTTTTTTTTGTATTTTATTTATTTTATCTTGTTGCTTTTGTTGCTGCCTTGGCTTTGTTATAAAATAAACGGCAAAAACAGCATGCTCCAAACGTATTTACTCATGACCTTGCTGAGGCAAAGCCAGCACACACACACACACAAACACAGACACCCATTCACAAACACATACATATATATGTATGTATGTGTATGTATCAGAAATACAACCACAACGTCGCTTGGCGTTGGCGCTTGTCACAAGGACATTTTTCATGTGCGCAATGTGACATTTTTTGGAATTTGTTACTCTGACTCTGGTTTGTTCTCTGTTCTGTGCCAGCCAGGCAGGCAGGCAGGCAGTCCATAGGATGCACAGTGTCCCAGAATCGATATGTATAGGGAAATGGTTCAGTAGGTCTCTATATAACTGTTAAACATACTTTCTTTCAGAATTACAGTCTTATTGATCACTAAATTATATTTATTTTTATTTAATGTTCGATTATTGGGATCTGTTTTAAAATGGGATTTTATGGATACTTTGGATAAGGTTTTCTGCTTTTTATCCTGCTTTTTGTTGGCTTTCTTTAAAAGCCAAATAATTTGGATTTTTCTTTAGCCTGATCCCACTGCCAGCAGGTCTCTGTTCTCCATTTTTTATTTCAGTCTACTTCCAGCAGATGGCACTTGGTTCTAACTGTTTCGCTGTTGTCTTTGCCCCGCACACTCATACTGCTCCCTGCACTCTGCACTCTGCTCCACTCTCCACTGGTCGGGGTCGGTCCTGGGTTTTGGTGGCTGTTGTTTGATTTGAAAATAAGTTTTGTATATTGTTCACTCCAGTTTTTATGACACTTGAGCCAAGGCATTTTGCATTTTGCATGTTGCATGTTTTACATGACTGCTTCTGTGTGTGTGCGTGTGTTTGTGTCAGTTGTAGGAGTATCTTCCCTTTGGTCCAATGCTACACTGCAATTGTCGTGGCTTTTTGCATTTTTCAAATAATTGGAAAGCGCATTTCGATGTTTGAGTTCCGTGAGGCTGGAGGCAGGAGACGCCAGCGACAGCCCTTAAATGTGTGCCACACGAGACACTCGTTCCTTGCCGTGCCCTGGCCTGAAGCTGAAGCTGAAACCCCTTTTACGCTTGGCATTAATAATGGATGTTTAATACGCGACTGGCATTTAATGTTCAGCTTTTCAAGTGCGACTAATAGTGCCCGAGGCATATTAAAACGTTAACCGTGAGCTGCAGAATTTCGCCAAGCCCCGAGCATTCATCAACGTTCATCATCATCATCAAGGTTTTCCTTTTTATCCTCCACCTTTGCCGTGTTTTTTTTTTTTTGTTCTCTCTTTTTTTGGTAAATTTCTGGGGAAGTAATTATGATAAATGCAGGATATACACGAGTATGTGGGATGGATCAGGGCAACGGGGGAGGCCTGCCTGTGTGAGGCATGTCGAACTTGTAACTGGGTTAATTGCGCGTGAATAAAATTAAGGTAGAGAGACAGAGAGTGAGATGGATGGTGGATGGGAGAAGAGTACATGTGCCTCGCCCATTTCCCGCTTCCCATTTCCGGTGCTGCCACTGTCAATAAATCTTGAACAAAATCGCACACCATTCCATTCCGATAAGCAAAGTCTGCAGTTACGTGACTTTGTTTTCTTTCTACTAGAATTTTTTTTGTCATTTTTCATTGTCATATTTCCGCTGTTCTTAAACTGCTTATAGCCCAAGAAAATGCAACGTGCTGATGTTCAATTTGAAGATGAGAAATCATCTGAAGGTTTATTGAAATTTGAATGGGAAAGTATTAATACAAATATATTAACAAATTGCGCCAGAAGACAAATATATGTATTGGCCTTAAGTATTTATTATACTCAAAGGATTGTTTGCATTGCCTGACATGTGTAGCAGAGCAATTGCGTAATCTTAGAGTAAATTCCATCTTCGCCTGGAGGGGATATTGATTACCCGCCGAGGCAAGCTTCATCCCCACTGAGTAGAGATAAGCCAGGGGGCAACCATCATTCGAAGGACTCTGTACAAAGGCGAAAAGCACATGGTGCTTCATCCCCAAATCTATAAGAACAGAACAGCAATAAAACATACATGGCTTCACCCATGCATACATAACACCTATTCATTCAGACACTTCAAACAAACACTCGTACATGCATATATTCGTAGGTATATTAATTTAGGTACTAATCAGCTTTGAGCATGTTTGAGGCTCAATTACATGCGGTCTTTCCGCTATTTGTTAGCCAAGACAGCTCAAGGATGTGTGTATGTGTGGTACTAATCCTAATAGTAAGGATAAATGCTGGATGTAACAGCCAATAGCTTTAACAGAAGAATAGAATTCTATGAAGATTCCCCTTTAATAGTAGGATAAATTATGCTTTCTTTTAGAACTAAAGAAACAGTTTTCTTTTTAGTTCCATCAACTTTCTACTTTGAAGACTGCAAAATTGTGTAAAGTTATACTCCCCTGTTCATTATAAAAATTCTGTTTACCTCTCTCATATCTTCTTTCCTATGTAGTACTTATGTATGTAAGTAGTACATGAGGTCTCGTCTTTTCACTTCCTCTTCCTATGTTTTTGCACCTTTTCAATTTGCCTGTTCCGTTTTTTGAGGGTGTGGTTGGTGTCTCAAAGATATTCTTTCAACTGAAGCGTCACGTAGGCCACACGAAAATAAAGAAGCAGTCACGAAAATCTGTTATAATAAGATATGCACAAATGCACATGCATAAGTTAGACAACGAGCAGAGACAGCCCAGGCCTAAAGAACGTCGCCAAAAGAAGCCCACAGAGAGAGCCCCCCCCCAAAAGAATAAGGAAAGCCGAACACAGAAAGAAGAACAAGCCAAGTTGACTTACACGTCAACTAT